ACATTTACAAGTATGTACTGTATTTACAGTACAGTACATGCATTCGTAAATTTAGATTACTTTTTTCTGTACTCTATTAAAAACTAAAATTTATTTGTTTGTGAGCTTAAAATAGATTCTTATTAACCATATATTATTGAAAATGCATTAATAAATGAAATACAGAAATACAGAACTGGGAATAGTAATTTATGGTTTTTCCTAGTGACAAGTAGATTCGGAGACAAGTAAATTCGACTTACGTCGTTTTTCGACTTAAGACGTTTTCCTGGAACCAATTACCGACGTAAGGCGAGGTATACCTGTATACAGAAGTAAAATTGTCATATAAAGAATAAAGTAATTTTAAAGTAAATAATGTAGTTAGGTATTATTCCTTCAGAATTTCTAATTTAAAAAAGATTCATACTGCAAATACTTTTTCCATATCAAAAGCTACTACAGAGACACACATCAATAATGTGTAGCATTGTCGTATAAATTTTATAAATTACAGTAGAGCATCAATTATCCGACCCCCGATTAACCATCACCTCGGTTAACCAACCGCGTTCTAGTCGGCAAATTCAAATGTCCGCTAGTGATGTGGCTCTACAATATTTGGCTATGTCTTGGCTACTTTAATATTATTTTTGTTAAATTTTTGTGTGTTTTAGCTGGCAACACTGGCTCGACCATGAAAAAGAGGCCAGTATTTAAACGAGGCTTAATTTTCTAATTATGAGTGGTTGTTTGTTTTTTGAGCAATAAAATAATTTTTAACGATACTATAGCGACAATTATTATTTTTAAAAAAATTTGATAGGCTTAACATGGAGGAAAATTCAATGTGAAGTAGGTTAATAGCGATATACTAATATACTAATTACATGGGATATAATAATATACTACACTAATAATGGATTTTTTTCATACTTTTCGGTTATCTGACTTTTCAATTATCCAACCAACACCAGTCCCCAATTGAGTCGAATAATCGATGCTCTACTGTAATTACATAATTTTGAGAACAATTAGAATTTACAATATTAATTTTCAAAAAGTGTTTGTAAAACAAATATTTTATCACCATTAATTTAAGCAGAGAGACCATAAAATGTTTCTAATCTCCAAAAGTCATCCATTTTTAACTTCAAATACTGTAAATGCTTAAGACGGTAGCTAAAATGTCTTACCTATGGCAACAGCATAAAGGAACAGTGTGAACAAAAGAGTAATATGACTTCTGCTTTATAGTGAATTTGGTACAAAAATAATGATAATGAATATGTGTTGAAATCCAGACAATCCAGAACATAACTAGTTATGTTCTGGATTATCATTAATAATCTTTAGTAATCTTTAGTAATCTTTAATAATGATCAAAAATGTTAATATGTAGTAAAATTAGTTTGCTGGACATTCAAGTGTTGATTGTTTAATAGAAAAGGATTATTAAAATCATATAACTTACTTGTAAAAGATTTACACTTATAGGGATTTTCTTCAGCTTAAGAAGAATTGCAAATGTCTGAAAGAAAATAATTTCAATTTAGTAAACTTTTACAAAGAAACTTTTCATTTCACTGTTATGTAATAAATATAATTATAGTACAATAAATAATATATATACCTTATACAAAAATATTTATGAAATGCATTATAAATATTTTTACTAAATTTAGAAACAATTTTTGCCAATTATAATTATAATATACAAAATTAAAAAAAAAAATCTTACAAAATAATGAAATGACAACATAAGAAAAATAAACTTTAATAATTACAGCATGTATATAGAAGCAATATAGCAAATATAGTCAATAAAGCTTTAAAAATGTAAATAAATATGAAAAGAGAAATAAAGATATTAAAGTATAACATAACAAATAATAAAAAGTTATATTATATATTTTTAAATTAATTTAACTATTACCTATATAACCACAAAAAATTACATAAATAAATTTGTAAGTTCCTAAATCTTAAATCTAATAGTTTTCTGAAGATACATATATTCTAAAAATTTCATTACTTTTACATAAGTCAAATTAAATATTTATAGGCATTATCATCTGTTTCTTGTCTGTTTTCTTCTTCCATTAACTTACAATATCTAAATACACTCTTCAGGACACAGCCAGTATATTTTCTAATTTTAAAATAATTGCCTTCTTGTTTCTAAATTCCTAGCTATCTATAGTCTCTCCAAATACTCTCTACTAACTTTTTTAGCCCTAGCAGCTTAGTTTTACTCCATATATTTTGTTAATCTTTTTATAAGCTTCTATTTCCAGAGCTATTTAACTTTTTCTCTTTTTTAACAACTTTTTTAAATATCACCATGTTTATCAAGTACATATATAAATTCCTTTCTATATTATCTATGAAATATATAATATAATATTATCTACAAAAATAAATTGGTAAACAAAGAAAATATTAAAAAAATAGCAATAATAAAAAAATAAATAAATAAAATAATTCTATTTATGAAGATAGATAAAATATAAAAAAGACAAGACTTTTACAGAGACTTAAGATAAGTGTAAAGTTAAGAATAAAGAATGCAATTTATTTAATGAAAAATATTTTGACATCATCATGATACATATGATGATTACAGAAGTTTTGGAAGAAATATACTGAATAAATTTACATATGAGTTTAAAAGCTATACCTTTATCCAGTACATATGTTTAATAGAACAAATGCTTTTAATTTGTTTAACAAGTCATCTTCTGATTATAAATCTCTTAAATGTATAAATTCTATTCTACATTTGTGAGATTTGAATTCTAAAGATAATTTGTTAAACAAACTGAAAACTTTTTTAATTAACATTAACTTTTTCACTCATAATTATAAAAGAAAATTTCTGAAAACTCTAGTTAATTTAATTTGTGGATGAGTTTGTTTAGATCATTGAAAGCTATTTTGCTTACAATATGCTTTATTATTATAATACTAAACACTATGTAATAATATACAGTACTTCTAGTATTTAAGAGTAATGAACTTGTGCAATTATATTGCATTTGTAGTTTATCTGTGTATATAATACATATGTAAACATATACAAATATCTCAAAGCCCAATGTTTTTAATAAAAACCACACAATCACCATAATAAATTGGGCTACTTTACTGCTACTATAGAGAATTTGCGTGAATATCATCTCACATAACCAAATCATCATCTCTCTGCCTCCTGTGCCATATTTCTGCCATGCTGTTCATGGAGGTATATATAGTTTGGCTTGCATCTGAATGTTTATCACATGTAGATGGCAAAACATGCATTTTTATCAGACTATATAACAACTCTTACTGGTCAAGATGCTGACTGGCACAGAAGTATACTGTAATATTGTAATGCACACAGAGTTGATCTGTATGAAAATGTCTCAAATTTGTTTGTAGAGGACGCACTTTGTGGCCAAAGACAGAATATGGCAACACCATATCTTAATAACCCCAATTTTTATCACTTAACTACATGAAAGTGTACAAGTCACTTGAAGCTCAGAATTTTGTAACAAGTGGCTGGGTTGATCCAAAGATTCTAGTAAAAAGTTCTTCAGAACATACCCTTCCCAGCAAGATAACTTTACATTAAAATGAATTATAACTCTAGGTTGTTATATCATTGTACTAACTAAAAATGTACATTTTATGATAGTTTTATTGATCATTGCACAGCATTACTTCAAAGTGTTGTGTGATAATTTTTCTTTGTAATTGTCAAATTTATTTCATTCTGTTTTAAAATTTATTTAAACAGTATCACTTCATTAGGTAAAACACTCAAAGGAATACATGACAGATGGGCCCATTTGCAGTCACCTAAGTGACTATGAGTCCTACTCAAAGTTTAAGCCTTTCCCATTAAACTTTGGTTGCTGTGTCATGTTCAGGTGACATTATAATGGAATTGAAACTTGACAAATATTGTACCGAGCAAAACACACATGCTCAATCATGTACATCTAGGTCTCCAATACATCACATGCAAATTGTCTATTAATAATTAAATTCAAAGTAATTTGGTACTAGAGGTAAGTTTTGATTGTTGAACACAAGATTGTGTTATTAATTAAACACTTGGTTTTTTCCATCTTTATTTAGTTCAACTGAATAAAGATGAAAAAAGCCAAGTGTTTAATTAATAACACAATCTTGTGTTCGACAGTCAATAAATACTAAAACATGGTTTCAGAAAACAAATCAACTAGAGGTAAGTGTTATAGACCACCTCTTATTAAATTTAATAATTATATTAATATAGTGGTAAAGAGTAGCCCAATTCATTACAGCAATTGTTTGGCTTATTACTGCATATATGTAAACTTTGAAAACGATCCAAATTTTGTCAAAAATTAACACATATCTTCTTCACATTAGCCAGAGAGTTTAATTTGAAAATGTTTTTGACCTAATTGATATATCTTCATCACTCCGCATCTTAAATTTTTTACATTTTGTAATGGAATGTTCAAATATAGCACATTCAGAGTAGCCTGATGAAAACCTCTCATTAGATCAAAAACATTTGCAAATTAAGCTATTTTTCTGGATTGAAGGTGGTGTGTTTTAATTTTGGACAATTTTATGTTCCAGTTTGGTTTTATCTATATATCCAAAGTTGTATTTTTTACAAATTTAATTGAATATTGAGTTTAATTTTACATTCTACTTTCTGGCATATTGTCTGGTTAAGGAACTGAAACACAGTGTACTACTACAAAAATATTTTTCTATAGTTGATAAATTTTAGACTCCAAAATAATTTCTTTTTATATAATATTCGTAAGTAAAATCACTATTTGACAAAGAAGTAAATTATTGAATTAATGAGATTAAACGAAGATGAAATATATCAATAAGAAAATATATAAATGCTACATCATCTATTCAACAGCAATTATTTTATAACTATCTGTAATTATTTTTCCATATACACATTAAAAATATAATGTATTTATTATTTAAGAGTAGTCTATTGAAAAATATCTTATGAGAGAAAATATAATAATAAAAGTTTGTCTTCAATAATCAAATGTTTAAATGTTAGCACTCTATAATACCTATTAATTGGTATTAACAGATAGTAAAATTATAAAAAGAAATATTTCTAAGTAACATTCAATTAAAGTGAAACTTCTGAAGATGTCCACCACTTTCAGGAGACCATCTATAATATGACTGATTTTCTCCAGAAAGTGTTTTTGGTCTATAGGATTGATGCAATCTGAACCCTTTCAAAAAGACCACCTCTTTACTTGACCAACAACTAGGACCATCAAGAGCTTGAACAGGGCCTTGGTGTAGACAGACTCATTTTTCCCTTAGTGAGCCTCTTTAGCCTTTTTTAACAAATAAAATACATAGAATGTTTCTTTATTAAATAATAACAAGCAATCTTAAAGATCTTGTTAGTAAAATAACATTAATTATACAAGAGTAGAAACAATACAGATCCCTAAATTTTCTTCAGACCCAGAGAAAAAATTCCTCAGAAACCCTCTCAATGGCCTTGCCAACAACAACTTCTTATGATATGATATAATTAAAAACATACCCTTTTAAATGATCACATTGCCTGAAACATGGTCTAAAAGTGAAATACTGTATGTACTATATAAAATTTGAACTATATACTTATAACTGTACATTTGTATGTACAATACAAATGTACAGTTATAAGTATATTACTAGTACTATTATACAGAATTTTCTCTATTTAAAAAATATACAATCTTAAAGACATACACAAAAATAATTTTACAATATTCTTAAATGTCCTTTCACAATCACTGGAACACAATAAACATTGACAAAGTTGGCATTTTTTATATGCTCTTCCACATCTATATTTATGTAAATTAATTAAAAGCATCAATTTACATAAATGTAAAATAAATAGTTGTCTTAGGAAGTTATCTTCTCTAAAAGATTGTTTTCGGCGATTTTGGATGGTCATCAAAGAGAAGTTTCACTGTAATAGTTTTCTTATTTTTCAATTCATGCTATCTTCTAAACTAGTACACACCAAACTAATAAGAGATTGTAAGAAAACAATTTGTGATCAAGACAAGAAGAAATAAAATTTGAACCTTCAAAATATATAGATATACAATAGTTTTTGAACAATTCAAATGTTATCATCTCTTACTAAGTTCACAAGTGCATTTTTTCATCTTCTATCATACTGATGCAGTCAATTTGAAATGCTTTTATTTATAGGAACATTAGACAGTACTCTCATTTGTTATTTTTATCAGTAAGTGTAGGATAACAACAACCAAGGAAAACTAATAATAATTCAACAAAGATTTTAATTTAAAAAAATTTTTTTTTAGAATATAATTTTCATTATTATGTTCATGCACACACACCTTTCTAATCATACACAAACAAAAAAAACCCCAGCAACAAGTTGCTATTATGAGATCTTATTTAGAAAATAATTTTTATAATTTTAATTACAGTATAACTTAATAAAATTGTGTGAGATGTGATCTGTTATGA